AGTGCACCACCATGGGTCCGTGGCTGCCTGTTTTTGATTGGCCGGCGAGCCCTTTCAAAGCGGCTCCGCGCGGCCCGTAGCTTCAAGAGGGCGAGGGAGTTTGCATTGGGTTGGCTTGGCAATGGCTGCTAGCAACTCGGATTGGATTCATTCCTTGCTGCTGTGAGTGCTGCTTGCTTCATTTGCTGTCTCTTGCCTGTGTTTGGTCCACATTTGGGCCATTTTTTGGTTAATTTTCCATTTTAAAATATTTTTTAATATTATTTTTTAATATTATTTTAATATTATTTTAATATTATTTTTAAAAAATATTCTAAAAAAGAAAAGACTCTTCTGTTGGTGTGTGCTCTCATTTGCTGTATCCTGCCTGTGTTTGGTCCACATTTGGGCCATTTTTTGGTTAATTTTCCATTTTAAAATATTTTTTAATATTATTTTAATATTATTCTTAAGAAATACAAAAAATATTCTAAAAATTCGTTAATATTTACAAAATTTCTTAAATACCAAAACTTTTTTTGGAAAGTTTTGTAATTATTTTAAATATCGAAACAAAAAAACACCCCAATTACAAATCGATTTTAGAAACAAATTTTTTTCTTGATCAAACAGGCCTACCTATCTTTAGCCAAAAGGCTCTCATAGGAACCAGTGTGAGACCTGGTGATTGCACAAACCACAGAGCACTGATGCACATTAAAGATTTTTTCATCCTCTTTTTTGGGAGTTTGCTGTCTGGCCACCAAAGTTTGAAGCTAGCTTTGAACCATATTAAATGGTCAGTACAAATGGGACTTCGGCTAACTTGAACTCAAGCAACTGTCAATAAGAAGAAGGAAGAGGAGGAGATAGAAGAAATAATACTTTAAATATGTCAGACCACCACACTGAAACCACAGAAATAGTTCACTGAGTAAAGACTATTGTAGATTTCAAGACTATTCTAGTTTGGACGAACAATTGGATGAGTCTCTCAGACTTTTTCAAGGATTACTCATATATATTATTCACTCATTCTGTGAGGATGAATGAGTTTAATTTCTAACACTAATTCCCACATTTTGTGATGGAACAAATATAGAATGCTCTGAAAAACAGATTAATTAAGAAATGAGGTGAATGTCGCTGTATGATTCATTGTTTTGGTATTAACTCCCATTGATTTTTCGTTAACGAACAACAGTAATGGATGCTCTAAATAATAATAAGTAATAATAAGTAATGGATAATAATTAATAATAAGTAATGGATGCTCTAAAGCTCTGTCCACCTTCAGTGGGGGATGCTCCCATTCTTTTTGCATGGTTCCCTGCCCTGGATTTTTAAAATCTTACTTAAATTTTCCTTTTGAAGGGTTTTGAAATATATCTTCACCTTCTTCTTCTTCTTAGGCAATCCCTCATAGCCTGAGAATGATTGTCTTCCAGAGGTAGTGTCTTGGCAGTGGGTCCGTAGGTTGCTGTGGAGCCCTATTCTTGATACGCATGTTCTCCCTCAGTGAGGGTCCTGGTCAGGGTTGGCTTGACTTACCTTCCTCTTGGCACGTTTCTCCCTTTTGCCCTCCATTTGTGCCTCTTTGAATTCTGCAGCACTGCTGGTCACAGCTGACCTCCAGTTATAGAGTGCTCAAGGGCCAATATCTTCACCATCACAAAGGGGGAAATGGTCAAGATTCATTCTTGTTTTTTTCATATTTTATATTATACAGTGTTTCATATTTTACCATTGCTAATTATTACTAATTATAGTGCTGACAGTGTTTGTAGTTGGGGGAGAGATATTGTTTTCAATTTTTTTCCCTTAATGAACAACAGAAAAGGCCAAGCTCCAACATCAAATGAGTAGAGAGAACATTCCAGTTCAGTGGTAGAATGTTGAAGGAATGCTGAGAGAATGTCTTGATTTAGATGGAAAGCAGATACAACCATTGGCAGGAAGGAAATGTTCAGCCATGGGCTACCTTGTCTTGAAGGAAATGGAGGTAAGGCTGATCAATCCATTGACCACAGAGCTCACTGTCCATTCTAGCCAAGGTAACTGCAACAAGGAGTTCTATCTTCCAGGGGATAAATCTTAGGTCACATGATACCATGTGCTCAAATGTGCTGTTAGACAGTTGAGACAGCACTAGCTCTGATAAGGAATGATAGATTTTTATACAATCTCAGGAAGGTTTTAAACAGTGGATTCTGGAAATGGGAGGACCTGCCAAGGTATTGGAAATGCTATACTTGACAAATAACATTTAATGGAAGAGGTGGAAAACATCCAACAAGTAAATCAAGAAGTCCAACACATGTGCAACTCATGTCTTCTCTGGAGTAATTCCTTTATGCTGGAGAAATTCAGTAAATATCCTTTACTTATATGCATAAGAAAGCTAAATAGATGGTGTGTACTGCATCCATAATGTGTATAACTGAAGAGGGACCTCATAGGAAAAATTGGATTTATAATATGCAGGACTGGATGCCTTATCTTCCCTTCATGGTGGTGAGAAGATCTAGATGCCATGGAGGTTTCCAGTCTTGCCATTGTGAAGATGTAGTAGAAGAGCAAAACATGGCTCTCTGTGTCACCATAGAGTTACAAGAATGCACCTGGCCCTATCTAATCTTTGCAATCACCCTAGTGGGAAATCGTGCATGACAGACCATAGAATAATAGAATAAAAGAGTTGGAAGAGACCACATGGGCCATTGAGTCCAACCCTCTGCCATGCAGGAAAAGCACAATCAAAGTACCCCTGACAGATGGCCTCTGTTGCAAAATCTCCAAGGAAGGAGGTCCTCCCCACTCATATAAGAACTTATCTCTGAGAGAGCCATCCCTTTGCAGACTCTGCTGTTGTTGGGTTTCAGCCTGTGTGTGAACCTGAACCTGATTCTCTGATTGCTGAACCTGAACCTGATTCTCTGATTGTCTTTCCTGATGCTACTGAAAACGTATTTCTCCCTGAGGATAATGAAAATGATTCTGAGGTCAGTGGCTTGGAAAGTGAAACTACACATTCTGATGAGAATGTTGCAGAGCCAAGCGGTGATAACTCTCCAGAGGAGATAGCACCTGGCTTCCTTAATGAGGATAGAAAAGGACAGATTTGGAAAAACAGGAGTGAATCGCAGAGTCTGCGAATGTCAAGCAGATTAAGGGAAAAGGAAGCTCAGGCTTCAAAGCCGGGAGGCGTGTCACGAAACAGTTTCTTCAGTTTTAAGTGCCTCTCGCCAGGTTGTCTTGTTAGATCAGGCATTGTTTAGACTGAGGCATTACCTTGGCAGAATTCCCTGGTTTCCCGTGGCCTACATCCCAAGAGGCTTCTAGTGCTCCAAGTACGGTTAGTGATTTGCTAACAGGTTCCAGGTTTTTACAGTGTTGCTTTTGGAATTTTGATCTAATTCATGGGTATTCCTGACTGCTGAATTTTACTGTGGCTTTTTGACTTTGCATTTTCCTCTATTTTGTAACCATTTTTCATCAATAAAAAGGGATTGTTTTTTCCCCACAGTCAAGTGTGGTGGATTGTTATCTTATGGTCTCGTTTCCTGCTCTGGATTGCAACAGCTGTTCTAGTTCATTGGTAACAGAAACAGGTCTATAGTTAGCATACCCATAATCTGAAAATGTCTTGGAGGGATTCTTTGTATAGATTCCATTTATGACAGAAGACAGGTACCTGACTTAAAGTGTCTGCAAGAATATTCTTCTACCCCAGAAGGTGAATTGCCAGTGGCAATACGTCCCATGGAATGCACCATCCCCAGAGTATCATTATGAAATGGAATAGGATGTCTCCTTGTTTACCTGACCTACCTTGGCCTATAGGACCTGCTTAAATAATTTGAAAGCCTTTATGGCAGCCAAGAATCTGAGGGCATTTATTTGCATATCTCTTTTGTCTGGACACCATGGCTTCTGACAAAGAGATCTGTGGACTGTGTTTCCCATCCTTCTAAGAATGCATTGGTGAATGTAACTGAGGGTTGTGGAAGGAGAAACAGCACTCCTGCCTGGATGTACCTCAGATCAATCCATCAGCATAGATACTGATGTACTCTCTGCAGCACGGTGAGTCTCTTTCATGGAAAATCTGACAAAGTAGTGGAAAAAACACAGTTAGTGAGCCCTCATATGCAGATTGTCAAATGGTGTAACAAAAATGGTGGAAGCCATGAACCTGAGAATAAGAATGACTTGGACATCCCATACACTTACATGAGAATTGCAAAGACAATGAAGAGTAGCCTTCTGTAGAATAGCTTAGTGGTTATTTGGAAGAAGAGCAGCCTGAGCCCGAGCATTTGATATGGTGTCAATGAATCTCATGCATTGAGATGGTTGCAGACAAGACTTCTCATAATTTACTATGGTCATTTTGTAGACTCAACAGTAGACAGATGTCAGCAACAAGATGCTCTCATGTGTGTGCCATTATCAACCAATTGCTTATGTAAGGAATGACAATTTGTTATCAAAGTTATGTTATCACCACAGCTATGCACACACAATCTGGATCTGGAAAGGGACTTCCCTTTAGGAGGCTTCAGTCCTGGCAGAGTACAACATGCTGTGATTTAAGAGATTATTCTAAAATCTCCTCTTCAGAAACGGTTTTAAGATTTTTCAGACTGAAGCATGGAAGAAATAGTCTCATGTCCTCCTATAGGTATATCTTATCATGTTGAAAAATAACAAAGGCCTAGACTCATCTTGGATTCTTGAAATGTCAGCTGCTACATGCAGCCAAGACAGTTCAAGATGGTTACACTTGCTTCCATTCCTCCTTTGATGGAAAAGGGTGATGGTTTTGCTACATTGGACCTCAAAGATGCATATTTTCACATCACAATCAAACTATCCTATCTTTCATGGTCAACCACGTACCTTGGATGTGCTCCCAGAGGCTTTCTGGGAGTAGTAGTTCCCTTTTGCACTTTGAACTCACTTTGCAGGAAGCCCAGGACAAAGAGGGAAAGTGTCACGAGGAAAGAGAAACTCAGATATTGAAAAAACGGTACTATGTAGGATTTATTGGAACTGTCCCTGCCAAATTAGGACAAATTAATAGTTGGCAATAGCTTTGTGTTACTAAATGGATCCTTAGCACAAAATATCATCATCAAACTGGACTTGGCGGGTCTTCATGCATGACAATTTTGTAACAGGCGCCATACAGCTGACCCTGACCAGTTCTATGGTGGCAGGCTTAAAGGCCTAGGTTATAGTCCTACCATGGGACAGACAAATGGGAAAATGGCACCCTAGGCATTGCTGTAATACATAAAAGTTATTCAAGTAACAAAATGTCAGTCAGTGAACACAAGCAAGCTTAGCTCTTGCAGCTTCTGTAGTCAGAATAAGGACAAAACTGCTCCAGTTGGATTAGCAAGAGTTATGTTAAGGGACGAGGTGTTACCACGGGCATTTTAACCCATTTCTCATAGTCAAACTGTTCTTGCTTTATGTGTGGGGTGCACAATGACCAAATTCATTTTTAATAATGGAGTGCACAAAATCAGTAGCACGGAAACAGAGAGGAGAGCTAAATACAAAAATCAGGAAGTCAAAGTTCCAATTAATTTACATTTAGTACAGAATAAAGACGTAACTACCCGTTAGTGCTTAGAGAATTTGTTTTGTTGCTATTAAAACATAAATAAAATACTTTTCCTCATTTGTCCACTCAAAAAGATTCCAGTGTCGATGGCAGCAGTCTGAATTTTTCGGACCTTTGCTTATCAAATAATAAAATAATAATAAAATAAAAATCAGTCATCCAGATTCTGCCTATCTCCCATTTTATACTTGTCTTTCACCCGCTACCTTTTGTACTCGCTTTCCCCCTCTTTTTCTTTATTAGACTTTTTTAAAAAATTCAGCATGACTGCTGGGATTTTAGTTGGATTCCCCTCTTTTTTAATAGAAAAAAGTCTCATTTGCACACATTTATGTGAGTTATAAATCTGAAAATAATCTCCTGGCATCAGTGTCTCTGATATGCATAACTTAATTTAAGAACAAAACTCTACAACACCCAGACTGCAGTAGGAAAGAAAAGAAAAACCAAGTAGGAATTTGTTTGCATTGAACAAAGTCTAATCCATCACATGGTTCCTGTCTTCAATGTAGAAAAAGTAGCTAGCCAGTACCTTATGCCATGTCCTTAGACGTGTATGATATTAAGTAGTAGGGAAGAGACTGGTCCTCCCAACATAAAAAATTAAATGTGCAAAATGATGCTGCAGTTGTTTTGTCCCACTCTTAGATGTGGCCATTGTGTCCTTTGAAAGTTGGAACTTCTGCTGTTATTTACAGGTGAACACTTCTGTCCGCTCACTGCATGTGTTGCATTTCACAAAGCAGCACCAGTGGAATTTGCAGTTACACTGCCAAACTTTGGTGTACTGGTGGGTATTGTAACCCCTTCCGCAGCACATCATGTCGCACCCATCGGCACTGGGCGAGGTGCGGTTGCAGAGCCGTCCCTGTGTCCCCACACTCCCAGTGGAAGCGTCTTCTTCACAGTAGTTGGGGGACTTCTCTATATAGACCAAATCTGTTTCCATTGGTTTCTGGTAACTTCTGATCTGCTTAATCTTCAGAAAGGTCGGCTGCCTAAGCCGGCTGGCTCGTACCACTTCCACCTGCACGGCAGCATTATATTTTTCTTTTAAAATATAACCAATCTCTCTGAATTTAGGAAGTGTAGTCCAACACGTCTTGGTTGTGCAGGAACCAGAAACACCATGGCATTTACATTCCAGTTTCATTCTCTCTTCAAGCACCTGTGTACGTAAACAAGGAGAAATAACATAAGGGAAAATAGTCTCTCATTGTGTTCATAACATAGTCATGCCCCCCTCCCTTGCACAGAACTATTATTTTGGTGAAAACATCATCTATCAAAAATAGAGGCATAATCTATTCACAATTAGGCACCCACAGATACAAATGGAATAATACTGGTTGTTGGAGTTTATTCTGGGGTAAAATCTTTGGAAACCAGGCATGAGCCGTAATATGAATCATGCTTTTGATCTGAAAAAGTGTAGCAGCAAAATTCTATTAACTTCTTGGCCTCATGTGCAATTTACCTCATGTTCCCAAATTCATTCAGCTTAACTAAAATCCTGATAATTTGCTTTGAAATTCACACAGGATTCTTCAAAGTCAGTTAGCATCTCACTTTAAGCATAATTCAGTGTCAACACTATTGGCCATGTCCCAGTTAAGATGATAAGCTACGTTCATTCGAATTAAGCAAGGTCCAAGACCAGAGGCGGCCCTAGGTAATTTTCAACGGTAAGCAAACAGTATTTTGGCGCCCCCCCCCAACCAATCATTGATATATATTTTCTGTTTGTCGTGGGAGTTCTGTGTGCCATATTTGGTTCAATTCCATCATTGGTGGAGTTCAGAATGCTCTTTGATTGTAGGTGAACTATACATCCCAGTAACTACACTTGCCGCACTTGCTCCCTTGCCTGGCCCGCTTTGGGTCCGGAGGCGTGCCTGAAGACCCCGGCGTGTGCACCAAAAGTCACCTCTTCTCCTGACTTTCTCCTCAGCCATTGGGACCAAGAGAGAGAGAGAGAGAGAGAGGTGGAGATGCCCACCTTTCCTGAAGGTAGGCGCAAAAACAAAGGAGGGAGCGGAGGTGGGAGATACCTCCAGCCGGAGGGGTCTCTCATCTCTCTCTCTCTCTTGGTCCCAATGGCTGAAGAGAATAGAAGAGGAAGAGGCGAACCTTTGGTGAAAAACGACCGGGAGTCTTCAGGCACACCTCCGGACCTGAAGCAGGCCAGGCGTGGCAGCTCCGCCCCTTGCCCCACCCGCGGATTGGGGAGAGGAGAGGAGGTGGGTGGATCGCCAGGGGATCGGGAAAGGGAGCCGGTCATGGCGAAGGGATCGAACGCGGAGAACGATTGAGCGCCGGCTCTGCTCGCGCACCCGGTGGCCGGGTGGAGCAGGAACGAGAGGGGCTAGGCGAGGCTCAAGGGCCCTGGCCCCTTTGGGAAGAGGATCGCCCGGCAGCAAGGCAAGAAAGCCGAGGCTCCCCACAGACTGCTAGGGCTGTTGTGAGCTGAGGGGGCGCTCCTCAAGTGGCGGTTGAGGGGCATTTACAGAGGTGCCTCTGTGCCCCTGGCAAAAAAAAGTGTTCTGCGACCGCTTACTTCGCGTAATGGACGAGCCGCCCCTGTCCAAGACACAAGTGGATTTTCTCATTGATGTAAGTGCTTCCTTTAGAGCAGTGTTTCTCAACCTGGGGGTCGGGACCCCTGAGGGGATCGTGAGGGGGTGTCAAAGGCGTCACCAAAGACCATCAGAAAACATAGTATTTTCTGGTGGTCATTGGGATTCTGTGTGGGAAGTTTGACCCAATTCTATTGTTGGTCGAGTTCAGAATGCTCTTTGATTGTAGGTGAACTATAAATCCCAGCAACTACAACTCCCAAATGTCAAGGTGTATTTTCCCCAGACTCTACCAGTGTTCACATTTGGGCATACTGAGTATTTGTGCCAAGTTTGGTCCAGATCCATACTTGTTTGAGTCCACAGTGCTCCTCCGGATATAGGTAAACTACAACTCCCAAAGTCAAGGTCAATGCCCACAAAACCCTTCCAGTGTTTTCTGTTGGTCATGGGAGTTCTTTGTGCCAAGTTCGGTTTAAATCCATCGCTGGTGGAGTTCAGAATGTTTTTTGATTATAGGTGAACTATAAATCCCAGCACCTACAACTCCCAAATTACAAAATCAATCTCTCCCCCCCCCCCCCCCCCCCCCCCCCAACCCCACTAGCATTCACATTTGGGCATATTGAGTATTTGTGCTCAATTTAGTCCAGTGAATGAAAATATATCCTGCATATCGGACATTTACATTATGATTTATAACCGTACTAAAATGACAGGTATCAAGTAACAACGAAAACAATATTATGGTTGGGGGTCACCACAACATATGGAACGGCATTAAGGAGTCACGGCATTAGCAAGGTTGTGAACCACTGCTTTAGAGCCAAGTACCTATGGGGATAGATACATGGTGAAATAGGTTAGGGTCAGGCACATGCTGTCACGATTCAGCCCAAGGCCATCAGCCAAACCTATTTCTAAAAAGACAAGAGAATGCCTCTAGAGCATGGCCATATAGCCTGAAAAACCGACAACAACCCAGTGATTCCGGGCATGAAAGCCTTCGACAATACACCCAGACTGCTTTGCATTCCAACAAGGACTCCCTGATCCACCCTGGGGGCAGCAGGGAATCCCTACTGCCCAGGCACACCTAAAATGTATCAGCACTACTGGGCAAGCGCCCAACTGCCAATTCCCCACCCTCTGGGTACAGAAACAGCAACACTGTCACCTACCTAATCCTTGGGTGGGTCTCCTTCTTTATTCCTTATTCCATGTCGTGTGACTTAGCGAAGGAGAAGGAGAGAGGGAAGGGGACAGGTGTAGACAGCCATCCCATGGCCCTGGGCTACCTGAGGTTAGGAATCAGTTGAAGCTGTCTGGATTGCCCTAAGAGATTTCTACCCTATATGCAGATTCCCCCCCCCCCCTTCCTATCCTTTCACCCTCGTAACCATAACCAGTGTGGCCTCTTAATATGCCGATTCCACAGTTGTGTTGTGGAGGGCGGTTCTCTCCTGTTTCTGAAATGCAGATTACATAAATCACAGAACACTGACGTACATTGAGGGCTTACTTTTGCATGCTGTTTTTGGGTGCCTGGCCACCACAGTTTGAAGCTAGATTTATTTATTTACTTATTTAAAACATTTATATTACACCTTTCTTCACCCCGAAGGGGACCCAGGGCAGAGCACAGCATATATACAGCAACATTCAATGCCAGAACACAAATTCATATACGCATACATAAACATTAAAAATATTTATCTCAATATTAAAATACACCATTTAAAACCGTCCTAGTCATCTGTGTCAAATCTAATTGACCTGGTAATCTTTCCTATTGGAGCTTTATTGCCCTGTCCCGAAAGCTTTGTCCTACAGCCAAGTTTTTACTATCCTTCTAAAGGACAGGAAGGAGGGGGTTGACCTGATCTTACAAAAAATGGAGTTCCATAGCCGGGGAGCAATCACCGAGAAGGCCCTGTCTCTCGTCCCAACCAATTGCCCCTGTGACAATGGCGGGACGAAAAGCAGGGCCTCCCCAGATGATTTTAATCTTCGTGATGGGTCATTGGGGGAGATGCATTCAGACAGGTAAATTGGGCCGGGGCTGTTTAGGGCTTTATAGGCCAAAGCCAGCACTTTGAATTGTGTCCGGTAGCAAACAGGCAGCTAGTGGAGCTGGCACAACAGAGGAGTTGTATGCTCTCTGTATGCGGCCCCAGTTATTAACCTGGCTGCCTCTCGTTGGACTATTTGAAGCTTCTGAGCAGTCTTCAAAGGCAACCCCAAATAGAGTGTGCTGCAGTAGTATATCCTAGATGTAACGAGAGCGTGGACCACCGTGGCCAAGTCTAACTTCCCAAGGTATGGGCACAGCTGGCGCACAAGTTTCAATTGTGTGAAAGCTCCCCTGGCCACCGCGGCAACCTGGGATTCCAGCCTCAGTGATGAGTCCAGGAGGACCCCCAAGCTGTGAGCCTGTGCCTTCAAGGGGAGTGTAACCCTATCCAGTACAGGTTGTGACCCTATACCCTGTTTGGCCTTGTGACTGACCAAGAGGACCTCTGTCTTGTCTGGATTCAACTTCAATTTCCTCGCCCTCATCCAGACCGTCACAGCAACCAGGCACCGGTTCAGGACTTGGACAGCCTCCTTAGCATCTGGTGGAAATGAGTGATAGAGTTGGACGACATCTGCGTACAGATGCCATTGGACTCCAAAACTCCAGATGATCTCACCCAGCGGCTTCATGTAGATGTTAAACAACATGGGGGACAATACTGAGCCCTGCGGGACCCCACAGGACAATGGCTGTGGGGCTGAGCAGGAGTCCCCCAGCAACACCTTCTGGGTACAACCCTCCTGAAAGGACTAGAGCCACTGCAGAACAGTACCTCCAGGACCCATCCCCACAAGGATTTGAACTGCATTAAATGACCAGTATTGATGGGGCCATAGTTTGAGAAGCAATGTTTTAATCTAGGGATGAGTGGCTGAACTCCTATTCCACAAAGGTAACATCAGTGACAGAGCTGTGATACTTTCCTCAGCTTAATCTAATCTATGCTTTTCCTAAACTCTAACTGAACTCTTGTAAAAAAATTAATTTTTGAAGATTTACGTCATGATTCATATTGGTTTTTATTAAAACTGTGACCTAATTAATGGTTTGAAGTTCATTCATTTTCTGCTTTTGAACTAAATAATTACACATAAATAATAAGTTTGTCGATGTATTGTCGAAGGCTTTCATGACCGGAAACACTTGGTTGTTGTAGGTTTTTTCGGGCTATATGGCCATGGTCTAGAGGCATTCTCTCCTGACGTTTCGCCTGCATCTATGGCAAGCATCCTCATAGGTAGTGAGGTATATCGGAACTAGGGAAAAGGGTTTTCTATCTGTGGAATGACCAGGGTGAGACAAAGGACTCTTGTCTGCTGGAGCTAGGTGTGAATGTTTCAACTGACCACCTTGATTAGCATATAATGGACTGACAGTGCCTAGAGCAAACTATTGTTGAGAGATGATTAGATGTCCATGAAAATGAACAAAATTGTTTGTTTCCTCTCTGTTGTGCTGTTGTAATTTTAGAGTTTTTTTAATACTGGTAGCCAGATTTTGTTCATTTTCATGGACATCTAATCACCTCTCAACAATAGTTTGCTCTAGGCACTGTCAGTCCATTACATGCTAATCAAGGTGCTCAGTTGAAACATTCACACCTAGCTCTAGCAGACAATTTATTTATTATTTATTTATTTGGTAGTTTTGTATACCGGTCTTCTCACCCCCATTCGAGGGACTCGGGCCGGTTTCCAGCATCAATATTAAACCATCATATTTCTAAATCACACTAAAACATTAAAACATTGAAACAATTAAAATAGCAAAAATACAATCATATGATTACAGTGGTCAGTTGTCATCAAAGTCATTATTTGTCGTCATCCATCCATATCACAGGATCATGGCTCATTCGTTGAATGCCAATCCCCAAAGCCAGGTTTTCACCTGTTTCCTGAACGTTAAGATCAAAGGGCAGTTCTGATCTCCAGTGGAAGGGAGTTCCAGAGTCGAGGGGCCACCACCGAGAAGGCCCTGTCTCTCGTCCCCACCAGCCGCACCTGTGAGGCCGGTGGGATCGAGAGCAGGGCCCCTCCAGACGATCTTAGTAATCTTGATGGCTCATAGGGGAGGATACGTTCGGACAAAGAGTCATTTGTGGGTTGTTGTAGGTTTTTCCGGGCTATATGGCCATGTTCTGGAGGCAATTTTTCTCCTGACGTTTCGCCTGCATCTATGGCAAGCATCCTCAGAGGTAATGAGGTCTGTTGGAACTAGGAAAAATAGGTTTATATATCTGTGGAATGACCAGGATGAGACAAAGGACTTTTGTTTGCTGGGGCTAGCTGTGAATGTTTCAGCTGATCACCTTGATTTGCATTCAATGGCTTGGTAGCGCCTGGGGGGAATCTTTTGTTGAGAGTGATTTCATGTGCCTGTTTGTTTCCCCTCTGTTGTTTTTCTGCTGTAATTTTTGAGTTTTTTAATACTGGTAGCCAGATTTTGTTCATTTTCATGGTTTCTTCCTTTCTGTTGAAATTGTCCACATGCTTGTGGATTTCAATGGCTTCTCTGTGTAGTCTGACATGTTGGTTGTGCGAGTGGTCCAGCACATCTGTGTTCTCAAATAATATGCTGTGTCCAAAAGAGTCATTTGTTTCACCCTGGTCATTCCACAGATATATAAACCCTTTTTCCTAGTTCCAACAGACCTCACTACCTCTGTGGATGCTTACCATAGATGCAGGCGAAACGTCAGGAGAGAATGCCTCTAGACCATGGCCATATAGCCCGAAAAAACCTACAACAACCAAATAAGTTTGTCTGTTGCAGTAAGGATTAGAGCTGAACTCAGGTGAAGGAACTGGCCAAAATCAGCAGCATTATCACATCTTATGGTACTTTGTGCTGTGTGACCTCTTGGGGTGCAGAAAATGAGAAAACACTATGCTGCTCAGAACATGGTAGCAGAGAAAGCTTCTCAGGCAGCTCAAACAGAGAGTAAGGCTGCTGGGTCCCTCAGCTCAAAGCTTCTGATGTCTTACAATGTTACCTCCACCAAAATACATGCCTTTTTTGAGATACCAGAAGTATAACCTAGAGTGTAATAAGCAACTGTGTACATCCAACACCATTAGAAAAAAATTATCCAGCATTTTTTTCAAGAGAAGAAATCAAAATAAAATATGCAAAATATGTTGTCAGTTTCAAATCAGGGATATAGTATCAGACATAGGTTTAGAACACACTGGGAAAAAATAATAGCAACATTTTGTATTGTTAGTTTTGGCTTGTTGATTCAGCTTTGTGTTTTTTTGTGGTAAAGTTCATTTTCAGACCAGATGCAGAATGTAACAAAATCCATGCAACTTTGGGCTGCCGGGACAAAAGATAACAGAGAAACTATTTCAATTTTTTGTGTTGATGTATATACACTATAAGCTCAAAGTATTCTGTACATTTATTTATTTATTTATTTATTTGCGGCGCTTATATGCCGCCCTTCTCACCCCGAAGGGGACTCAGAGCGGCTTACAATATATACATACAATATATTATATTATTAGCATAGTACAATATCAGTATTATATATTACTATATTGCACTACACCATTATATTGTAATATTATTAGTAATATTACATGTAAATATATAATTATAATTATAATATTGAATTATTATTACTAGTATTATATTGTATTACATTATAATATTATAAATATTATATGTATATACAATATACTATATTATATTATTAGTAAAGACAAGATGGAAATGTCTTCTGCTCCCCTCTGTCTTCTCTCTGGCCAGAGTAGCCGTTGGTGCCAGAAGGGGGAGGGGCCTCTCAAGTGATGATATAGGCAGAAGACAAGATGGCAGTGTCTTCTGCTCCCTTCTGTCTTCTCTCTGGCCAGAGTAGCCGTTGGTGCCAGAAGGGGGAGGGGCCTCTCAAGTGATGATATAGGCAGAAGACAAGATGGCAATTGATGAACATTGATGGTTCAGGCAGACGAAATGTCAGTTGGTTCCTTCATAGACCTAGGCCTAATTGCCATTGTTGTTGTTCATTCGTTCAGTCGTCTCCGACTCTTCGTGACCTCATGGACCAGCCCACACCAGAGCTCCCTGTCGGCCGTCACCACCCCCAGCTCCTTCAAGGTCAGTCCAGTCACTTCAAGGATGCCATCCATCCATCTTGCCCTTGGTCGGCCCCTCTTCCTTTTTCCTTCCACTTTCCCCAGCATAATTGTCCTAATTGCCATGGGAACAATTAATCTGTGTGTGGTCTGCATTACCTGTAGGATTGGATGCACCTCCAGAAACATAGTGACTTGTGGTCTGAGCAACAAAGGATGGAGAGAACGTCTCACTTGTGATGTGAGACGTCTGAATGATTGGAGCATAGGACATATATCCATATAGAAAATTAGCATATTGGTTGGAAAAGTAGTCTGGAGCCCATTTTTCTGATATATTGTTTATACAAAATGGTTCTTTTTCATATTGAGAAGTACAGTGCGACCCCTGTAGCCATGGGACCAATACGTATGGTTTCATCTACCTGTGTCCAACAAAATATGTCCTCCTTAGACATATTATTTTCTGAAAGTTAACATAGAATCAACCTGGAGAAAATTCTGGAGAGGATACCTTTCTAGAAATTGTCGAGGTCTTCCAAGGGTGACTCTATGGTAACTTCTAGTCGAAGTTGCCCATGTCAATAAGGTTTGCTATTAACCACAATTTCCAGTTTCCACTGTAAGTTTAATAATAATAATAATAATAATAATAATATTGCTGTTAGCTAGATGGAAACAGTTCTAGTTAGGAATAGTTTGCATGGATTTTCCTTTAAAAGTGACTTAAACTCGAGTGAATGGTATAATATGTTGTATTTACTTTGTACAAGTTGTCGTCTACATACAGATCTAGACATGTTTCATTATTTCTGAATGTATATTTTCTGATTATATATGAAATTGTGTCAAATAATTAAATAAAAATATTAAATAATAATAATAATAATAATAACTTTATTTATACCCCGCCACCATCTCCCCAAGTTGACTCCGGACGACTTACGGCTTACATGAGGCCAAGCCGAACAACACATCAGAAAAACAAAACAGCAAGCAAATAGAACAGTACAATTAATATAACTCACATATAAACAATAACACAGAGAATTTAAAACCTTATGGTCAGGCCAGATATAATATTATTTTTATTATTATATAATATTATTATTATATAATATTATTATATAATATATAATAATATAATATAATATTATATAATATTATATTTATTATTATTATTATTATTATTATTATTATTATTATTATTAAATAATCACTGGACGTGAACAGAGGTAGGATGTATCTAAGCAGGAGGGTTTTAAAAGATAATGTAGGGAGACCAACCCAACTAGTAGTTAAAGTGCTTCTGAGGACAATTCCGGAGAATTAATCAGAGCAGGGTATTGTTTCCTTATTCAGAGAAGGCACACTGGAACAGCCACGTTTTCAGGTTCCTCCTAAATACTGCCAATGTGGGGGCTTGTTTGATATCCTTGAGGAGTGAGTTCCAGAGTCGGGGGGGCCACCACTGAGAAGGCACTCTCCCTCGTCCCCACCAATCGCGCCTGCGAAGGGGACAGGAGCGAGAGCAGGGCCTCTCCAGATGATCGAAGAGATCGCGTGGGTTTGTACACAGAAATGTGGTCACGCAGGTCGGCGGATCCCAAATCATTCAGGGCTTTGTAGGTAAGAACCTGCACCTTGAATTGGGACCGGAAAATGAACGGCAGCCAATGGAGTTCCTTAAAAAGGGGGGTTGACTGCTCCCTGTAAGTTGCTAAAGTTAGTAATCTGGCTGCCGCCCATTGTACCAATTGAAAATTTGAAATTTAGTTTAGCAATATATCCTCTGTGAATATGAGAGTCATACTGTATTCCCAAACTTGCACTCCAAAATGGTACAGCACAAGATGTTTTGTAAACTTAATCACAACTTGATCCAGTTATTGGCAGTGCAAAGGCGCCCCTCCCTCTACGTTTGATCATACACTCCTATTCTAAAATACCTTTCTTCCAGCCTCATTGTTGTGTAAGTTCATCAGCCTCCGAGCACTCTTTCTGATTTCTCTTGCATCAACAAACCTCCTGGAGAATTCAAGGCCGTATCTGATATCAGCGGAGCAGCCTCCCCATTTCCACCCTTCCTCTTGGTTGTAATAACCTTGTTTCTCTCTGTCGCAGCCACAGTTGCTGAGATTTCCCTGGCTGCAGGCAGCAGTGACGGCATGTGCAACTCCAGCAGCAGTGATGGCGTAGGTGAAAGCAGCTTCTCTGCTTCCTGCAGGGGGAAAATAACAAATCAGGTGGACAGAAAGAGGGGAAGCCGTGCTTTGCAATCATTCCAAAATAATACAGGTTGAGAATACACATTGCATGTCAATACCCGATACTCAACATATACAGCTTTCCTGCAAAAGCTGTTTTATGATCTCTTCAACTAAACTGGCAATTGAGTAGTCCGAACAGAAGTGGCCCATAGGAGAGAAAATGGCCCAGGGCTTAGCAGCATCTGTTAGATGGGATACCCAGTGCTTTTGTCTGAGAATATTTTGAGACATCAATGGAATCAACTGGACTACCAGTACAGACCATGAAGGCACACAGCTGCTGAACAGCTAGCACTGCTCATGCCTGAACCATGCATTTGATCTGTCCAATGATAAACTGGATTCTCCTTTTTATTATTCTTCATCTTTTTTATTTTATTTTTAAGATTATAGTGGAACTATGCATTAATTGAGAGAGCCATTGTGGTATAATGTTTTGAGCATTGGACTAAGACTCTAGAGACCAGAGTTCAATTCCCTGCTCAATCATGGAAACCCACTGGGTAACTAGGATTGTGGCGCAGCTGGCTGAGTGTCAGCTGCATTAAGATCACTCTGACAAAAAGGTCGTGAGTTCGAAGCCAGCCTGGGTTGGAGTGGATTTCCAACCAATTGTTTGTAGCCTGTTGTCGACCTTTGCAACCTGAAAGACAGTTGCATCTGTCAAGTAGGAAAATAAGGTACCACCTTAAAGTGTGGGGAGGCTAAATTAACTGATTTATGAGGCCATAAAGAAGACTCCAGCAAAGCATTCCAGCGGGGAAGCATGCGGGGAATGCGGAAGTGCTTCATCAGCGTCACAGATGGACGATGAAAGCGACAGCTCCCCTGGCGGCCAGAAAAAGTTAAATAGCCCCTGTGTATGTCTGTATATGTTTGTATGTCAAAAATTGGCATTGAATGTTTGCCATACACTGTAATCCGCCCCGAGTCCCCTGCGGGGTGAGAAGGGTGGAATATAAAAGCTGTAAATAAATAAATAATAAAATAATAACCTTGGGAGAATTACACACACTCTTATTTATTTATTTATTTGCAGTATTTCTATTCCGCCCTTCTCACCCTGCAGGGGACTCAGGGCAGATTACAATGTACATATACATGGCAAACATTCAATGCCATAGATACACAACATATATAGACAGACACTCAGAGGCTATTTAACTTTCCAGTTTTCATGAGGGTATTTTGGCCACCAGGGGAGCTGTCACTTCCTCGTCCATTTGTGACACTGATGAAGCACTTCCTCATTCTTTGCATGCTTGCTGGAGATTTTTATGGCATTGTAAATTAGCCTCCCTGCATAAGAAGTACCTAAATTTCCTACTTGACAGACGCAACTGTCTTTAGGGGTGCAAAGGTCGACGGAAAGCTACACAAACAGTTTGGAAGCTCACTCCGCCCTGGGCTGGCTTCAAACTCATGACCTTTTGGTCAGTAGTGATCTTGTGGTTAATTATAATGTGGTGATGAGAAACAGGAATAAGTTGATGGACAAGGAGGGGATCAACATTCCCTTGCCTAAAATTCTTCCTCACAATCCTTCTCCCAAATCAGATATTTTCAGAAAACAGTGTGGGTAGGAGAGTAAAAACAGAAAATTTGGATGGAGAAGGATGGTGGAGGAGGCTGTGAGTAAGAGGAGAATAAAACACCTCAGCCTTGCTTGACGTTGATCTAGCATAGAACTCTCCAAAATGTGTTTTGCTCACATGTGTGTCAGTTGCAGTGTGTTGCACAAAAGTAACAAATCTCTGAGTCTATGTCAAATAAGCAATAAATCATACATTTTAAAAATATATAAAGGAGAGATTTTTATGAGATATATTGCATCCACATAAATATTATTACAATTTTGGTATGTGTTTATATCTCTTATAAGGGGTTGGCTTAACTTCGGCTTAACCCCCTTGTCAACCCCCTTGTTTGGGTATCAGCCAGCATGTCAACGACTTAAATCAATAAATAGTTTTCTAAGATCTATAGAGACACTCGCTGGAACACCCCAGCAAGCGAGAGTCCAAAAGTGGCAGGCTCAAACCCAGCACCTCAATCAATGGCTGATACCAAATGAGAGACTCCCCCCTGGGCACACAGAAGACTGGGCAACTTATGAACATGAAGTGCTGAATGATGATTAGGAGTTTCTGAGCATAAATTTGAGAGTCAGGTTTTTTTTTTCAAATCTGGAAATAGTTTTGAGGATTTTCACCAAAATACGGTTGTGCCTGTTGTGCCACCTCTACAAAGTTCTGGAGAGACTTATTTTGCATAGAATTATGGAATAAATAGACCCCTGTCTGATTCCACAGCAAGCTGGCTTCAGGAAAGGCAAAAGCTGCACATTGCAAGTGTTGAACCTGACTCAGCACATAGAAGATGGCTTTGAAAGGCAGCAGATCACAGGAGCTGTCTTCATAGACCTGTCAGCAGCCTATGATACTGTGAACCACCGCCTTCTCCTGAGAAAAATGTATAATATCACAAAGAACTATCACCTCACTCGCCTCATAGGAAACCTGCTACAAAACAGGAGCTTCTTTGTTGAGTTCCAGGGCCAGAGAAGCAGATGGCGGAAACAGAAGAACGGCCTGCCTCAGGGGTGCGTGCTTGCTCCATCCATGTTCAAAATCTACGCAAATGACCAGCCATTGCCAGAAGGGACAGAGAGTTTCATCTATGCTGATGATCGTGCCATCACCGCTCAAGCGGGGAGCTTTGAGATGGTAGAACATAAGCTCCCCGAAGCTCTAGGTGCTCTTACTGCCTATTACAGGGAAGGCCAGCTGATCCCCAACCCATCTAAAACACAGACATGTGCCTTTCACCTTAAGAACAGCCAAGCATCCCGAGCTCTGAGGATTACCTGGGAAGGAATCCCACTGGAGCATTGCAGTGCACCCAAATACCTGGGAGTCACCCTGGACCGTGCCCTGACCTACAAGAAGCACTGTCTGAACATCAAGCAAAAAGTGGGTGCTAGAAACAATATCATACAAAAGCTGACTGCCACAACCTGGGGATCACAACCAGACACAGTGAAGACATCTGCCCTTGCGCTGTGCTACTCTGCTGCTGAGTACGCATGCCCAGTGTGGAACACATCTCACCACACTAAAACAGTGGATGTGGCTCTTAATGAGACATGCCGTATTATCACGGGGTGTCTGCGCCCTACACCACTGGAGAAATTACACTGCTTAGCCGGTATTGCACCTGTCATCCGCCGGGAAGTAGCAGCCAATAGTGAAAGGACCAAGGCAAAGACATCTCCAGCTCATCCCTTGTTTGGGCATCAGCCAGAACGTCAATGACTTAAATCAAGAAATAGTTTTCTAAGATCTACAGAGATACTTGCTGGAACACCTCAGCAAGCGAGAGTCCAAAAGTGGCAGGCTCAAACCCAGAGCCTCAATCAATGGCTGATACCCAATGAGAGACTCCCCCCTGGGCACACAGAAGACTGGGTGACTTGGAAGGCGCTGAACAGACTGCGCTCTGGCACCACGAGATGCAGAGCCAACCTGAAGAAATGGGGCTACAAAGTGGAATCCACGACATGCCAGTGTGGAAAAGTACAAACACTGACCACCTGCTGCAATGCAACCTGAGCCCTGCTACATGCACAATGGAGGACCTTCTTGCGGCAACACCAGAGGCACTCCAAGTGGCCAGATACTGGTCAAAGGACATTTAATCAGCTACCAAGCTTGCAAACTTTGTTTTTTGTCTGTCTGTCTGTTTGTTTTGTTTTGTTTAAAATGTAATACAAATGTCTGGTTGTTCCTGACACGATAAATAAACAAACCTCCGGTTTGCTAACAAAACTGAATTACTGTGACGCGAAATGATACATGTCTAAAAAGTGTGCCACCAACATGAAATGTTTGGGAAGCTCTGGTCTAACATGAAGCCTGGATGCAGTGATTGGATAAAACACACACATATATAAAACAATTTGCATTTTTATGATTTTTAAACTATTAGGACTCCAAAACATTTGGAAATTTTCTGCAAAACATCCAAAGATGTACCACAAAATTCTGATTTGTTTTGTGCTTCTCTGGTTGCTTCCAAGAGCATTCACTCATGTATTCATTTATACATGCATTCAAAAGTATATTCTGTCATTCATACCCTCATAATAATCAACAAAATTGAAATTAAGAAATTACACTTAATCAGTAAAACCTAGAAAATAAATAAGTTGTCTCTCCGTTAATTGCTTTGAAACTATGACGCCTGCATGGATAGCCATTGAGAATCATTCCTTGACTATGAGTAACTAGCTGTCTCTTGCCACGCGTTGCTGTGGCCCAGTCTAGTGATCGGGAAAAAAAGTAATGAGAAAATGTTGGTTTCTAATATATGTAATGTCGTGATGCTTGTGCGTAAACAGTATTTCTTGCTATTTCTTTGTCAGTGTTGATGTGGAGAGTGTCTGGTTTGCCTACTCTGGAACATGTAACATATAATTGTTCTTGTTCAGGGGTCCCTTTCAAATCTGTGATATGATATCTCTCTGTGTGTGAATTATATCTATCTATATGACTGGATGGCTCTTTGTCAGGAGGGCTTTTACATTTTCTTGCCCTGGTGAAGGTAGCTGGATTCAATGGCCTTAAGTAATTTCTGTTGGTCATGGGAGTTCTGTGTAGGAAGTTTGTCCCAATTCTCTCATTCGTGGGGTTCAGAATGCTCTTTGATTGTAGGTGAACTGTGAATTCCAGTGACTACAACTTCCAAATGTCAAGGTCTATTTCCCCCAAACCCCATCTGTGTTCATATGTGGGTATATGAAATATTCGTGCCAAGTCTGGTCCAGACCTATCATTGTTTGAGTCCACAGTACTCTCTGGATGTAGGTGAACTACAACTCCCAAACTCAAGGTCAATGCCCACCAAACAATTCTAGTATTTTCCTTTGGTCATGGGAGTTCTGTGTGCCAAG